GCAAGAAAATTTGTGCTGGATATGAGTAGTGATATGCTGATTCGAGTGAATTTTCTGGTTTAATGTTATCCCTATGAAATGCAGTAACTCATATACATGAAAAATTGAATTACAGTTAATTTGCAATGGATTACGTTATGTTCTGGTACGAAAGTTTCCTTGTTACGATGCACTAATTGATGTATTTGAAATCCCCATGAACCGAATTGCAATTCACAAATCTGTTTGTCGAACGGAAAACGTCGTACATCCATCGGGCAACGTACATCAACCAGCTTAATTCAACTTTTCACGATAGCTTTACGAATCATTCATGATACAGGCGTTTTGCATTTCTTGCGAGACATCAGTCCCAGAATAACTTACAAATAAATCGAGTCATTTCATTTATGATCATTTCTGAAGTGGTCATGTGATCATTGTTTCGCCTGTTATCTCAGGTTGGTTGTAAAATCATTTGCTCATCAACTGCGTTCATATGACATCATACACTGAACGCTTAATGACTCCTGAAAAGTCATTAAGCGTTCAATCTACACATTTACTCAGTTCAGCTTAGGCTTAAATCACCGACAAATGACATTTTTGATTGTTTCGAAAAAACACTTCAGAAACACGATGCGATGTCCTCACCTTGTTAAGATCAACCTCAACAAGGCCATCAGATGTAACACGAGCGAATATTCGTGATAATGGAATTGATTCCTTCACGTCCAATCTGCTACGTTGAAACGAAAATCTAATTAGATTGTGCTTGTTTGTGCTTGGAATTGTTATCTTGAGTTTTAAAAAAAACTCGTAATGTTAGTTCTGTCAGGCAAAATATCACTCATGTCAAATTTCTTCTGAAAAATGCTCTTCACTCGACAATATCAGCCCGCAGTAGTTGGTGGAAACAGTTAGCTCAATCGTTCCCACTGCTTGACTTCAGCAGACGAACTAAGAAAGTGAAAATGAACACGACTGCACCATACGCATCTTTCTTACAAAAGAAAGCACAGCTGTGATAAACTACGATGTGCGTACATATTGAAAATTGTGCCGTCTGGGAGCCACAGTTCATCGGCCGGCACATTGACTCGAGTTATACCACCCCATTCGGATGGATTCCAGTGTAAATATTCGTCCTTCCAGCTGTGCGGTATCCACAGCAATAAAGTTATTTGCTCCCTCAGTTCATCCTAGAACATGACTTCTGTCCAATGTACTCACGATGTGGGCACAATAAACGTATGTTTCCGTGTAAAAACATTAGAATCTAGCTGAATACACGATTTCTGTATTGTTTCCTATTCAACAGCTCCGTAACAGCGAAATGAATCAGTCGAAGAAACGTTGTCGTCTACAAAGCTGATCAACTGAAACGACTGAACAACTCACCACATCAACAAGGCTATATATCTGTGGTTGAATAGTCACTTCAATACGTGTTGTCCAATTGCGAACTGGACGTATCCTTTTATCGTATTCATGCAATAACCAATTGATAAGATCCTTCTCTGAGACATCAGTTTCATTTGCTGAAAATCAAACTTTCGTTCCACTAAGAAACGTCGACTGAATTGTTCATTGATAATGAGTGCCCTCTCGAATTCAAAGATTGACATGCGCGAACGATCAGAAGCGAACGTCTGCCATTCCCACAAAACGATTTTTGTCTACTTCTAAACGAACGAACTCATTCAAAATGGCATAGTATAGTTCAAAGTATAATTTTTTGCACCATAAACGAATTCATTGAATCTGAACGGAAGCAGCAAGTAAATTAGTACAAATGAGTCACTTGATAAGAAAACCTGACAGTACTAATCAAGTGGAATTCTTTCTTGAATCTGCTACAGTTCGTATTCATTCGAAATAAGCATCAATTTTCAAAAGATTTGAATGCAAAAAAAAAGACAACAAAAATGCAGATAATAAAGCTGAACGAATGTAGGATTCATTCGGGTATTCAGACTGGCAAATAGAATGATAACTGTGATCCCTTACGCATCAGAAAATAAGTTAACATGAAGTTACTAAGTAGCATTATCACAAGGAGCCAGATGATTAGATTTCAAGAATTTTTCATGTCTCAAATTTTTTGTCAAATTTTTATGCCTCAAAAATTTTAAGAATTTCTTTACCGTGGAGAGAGGGAAAAAGATTCAAAAGTTCTACAGGAGTTTTTGATGGTATTTGAGGATAAAGCGCTAAAACGTTACATGCACACTGCAGCATTTCAAATGAGTTGAAATCGTTGGATTTCGATTGAACTCAGAGGATTAAGGTATAAAACGGAATTGCACCAATGCAAAACATTGAAGTGATGTTTAAGGGGAAAGATTCTAGGTCCTCTAAGCGACTCACTCAAACTTACTCAGGCGAACACTCAGTTCGAACTGAACATTTTAAAACATTTATAATCCATAGAGAAGGATTTGACTATAGCCACATTCGCTGCGAAAAGATTAGCAAATTTGTGATTAAGAGTTCACGAAGCTAAATGTGGGAAACAATTCAACGGATGAATATTAATCGTGAGAATAAAGCGAACTGAATCTTCAGATGCGATAAAGACTAACCGATGACTATGGAGATGATTAACGTAAGATACACGAGACGACGCATCATTGATGCGTGAAGACTCTTCACACAATGCTGAACGCCATTCGATGAATGAGCTCACATAGTCATCAAAAATAAATATTGCACTTGTGATTATTGCGTTGAAATGAGTCAATCTAATCACTGCATTAATCGACACAGTTCTAAAAATGAGCCGCAAAAAGCGATAAAATTAAATATTCACTGAAGCGTCGTTAACATCATCATCCAATTGCATCCATATGTTTTAGCATCTCAGTGCAAAAAAACTTAGATTATCTGTTGGGCTGCACTCAGCCACCTTCCTCATCGACATCACAACAACTTCATTTCCATTTAGATTTGACTGTTGTTAGTCACCTTTCATTCAGACAAAACTCTTACAACCAAACGACTCAAATTCAATCGTTCATGTTATTCATCCCACTCAAGCAATTCACAAAATTCCCTAAGTTGATCAAAAAAAAATCGTCGTATCAATGTGTGCGAAAGCTNAACATGAACGTTATATGTTTTACCACTCGCAATTGTTGGTATTAGACACGAAAGAAGCCCACTAATCAATCTCAAAGCAAAACTCAGACTACTTCAAACCACTGAAACTAAACACTGAATGAGGCTATATTATAGTTTATTGTGAATTCACTGGCAAATCAAAAAGACGTTCTGTTGTAGCACCTGAACAAAGAGTAGTTGCTGAAGCAAACGAACTTTTTCAACTTTGTTTGAACCTCTAAAAATTCGCATAGTATGAAGGAAAAAGCAGTGTCGAGGAAGAGTCAACGATCGCAGTCCAGATGTTGCAGCACCAAGCAAATGATGCCATTCGTTGAACTGCACAAATCCCGCAAACTTTTCAGTCTTGCTGCAATCAATGAATCATAATGAACGCTCTCGTCTATTAAAATCTGATACCATTACAAGTTACACTCAAGCGTTAGGAACTAAAAACGCAATTAGTTAGAGCATATTTCAGAAATTTGGTCAGCTGTTTACCATTTCCGTACTCCGAACTGATTTATGAGCAGCATTTCTATAGCAGTGTTCATACCAGCACACATCGGCTCTTCAAACAACTGAATTTGACTTGACACCACTTCATGAAGTATGCTTCAACCTCAAAAACCGAAACATGCGGAATTTCGAGTGATCTGAAGCACTGATCATCTGAAAACTTCAAATGTCTTCAAATGTCGTAAAGGCACAAATGACATTGATACCTTGTCTCAGCATTTAAACTGACTTATCGTAAAGTATTTGAAAGCAAACAGTCGGAGTAATGAGATTACTTAGTATAACTCACATCCTCTTGTTTCAATACGGATCGTACCTCATCACCACCAAAATATAAAGCATTCGAAATCAACAAAATCAAGCATTGTTGATTAACTGCGAAATTTGCTTCGCTCCAGATTGTAATCAAATTACAAAGCAAAAACAACAGAAAGAGCATCATGTTCTTGGAAATACGATTGACATAACTATCCATAAAACGAGACCAATCTAACCAAATTATTATCTACCAGGTCACAAATATTATTACCCATTGCTCGGTAAGTAACCAATATTACTATCCATGAATCGTTATTATTAATCTATTCCGTAATAAACCGACTATTATAATTATTCATAAAAGAATTGATATTAGTCCAATGAATTTCGTTATCTATCAGTTAACTGATATTGTTATCCACAAACCATTATCATTAATCCAATTCATATCAATATCCTTTAAATAATTAATGTCCTCATTGATAGATTAGGCGAATTAACAGAAACCAACTTTCCATTCTAGACACAAATCAATTTTTCATTCTCATAATAAT